TGAGATGCCTAAAGCTTTAGACGAGAAAGCATGTTGTGACTAACGCGTGTCTGTCAAACTGTAATGACTACGGTACGACACCGGCAGATTCGACAACAGGGATTATTTTACTCATGTTCAAGAAGGGCGGAGACCATCGGGAGTGCTCTAATTAGCGGGACAGTAGCCTACTGAACTACCGGGAAGAGTCCACACAAAGATGCTGGAAAGCAGGGGCCGCGGAATAGTTGACTTTAACATCCAAGAACAGTGTAGCTTCAGGTTAGGCCGAAGCATTTCTGACTAAATCTTTGCCTTACGTGAGACTGTTGAGAAATCATGGGAGTTCGCTCATCCGGTTTACATGTACTTATTTGACCAGAAGAAAAACTGTGATGATATCCCGGACAGCAAGCTGTTGGTTTGCATACGGACGTATGATAGACGGCAAGTTGTTTTGAACCATCCAGTCGCTATATGTTGATAACAAGTGCTGCGTCGGAGTAAGTAGCGTTGAGTCGAGTAGAGTTAGGCACTGGTCTCTGCAAAGGCCGCATTCTGTCCTCTCTTGTCTGTATTATACATGGATGGAATAGTCAGGCGCAGCCAAATGAGATGAGTGTATTAGCGTAAGAAATGTCCAGACGAGAAGGGTACTGTTTCGACAGGACCTTGTTTTGTTGACATCTTCTGAAACCAATCTCCAACGTTCTGTGGAAAAGTTCACAGATGGCTGTGGCCGTTATGCGCGCTGATATGTTTCAAACCATGCCTAGTATTTTTTGTTTTTCTGTAAACTGCTTTCCACAGAAACGGAGAAACAGTTGAAAAAATTCAACTACCTTAAGACTGTGCTTACTGGCGATGAAAATTGGGCAGGGTTCTGCGTGAGCTGGATTGAACCTCCGTAACGAAGGTGGAATTGAGTCTGCGAACTAAACTGTCTGTTTTCGAGTCGATATTCATCCTCATTCTCACCTATGGTCATAAGTCGTGTGCCATGATTGTGAAACTGCTTTCTTGGGTGCAAGGACTGAAATGGGCTTTCTGAAACGAATCGTTGGGCTCAGGTGTCTCGATATAGTCCGGAGTTCAGATATCTGAGAGAACCTTGGTGTAAAGCCGCTGCTTTTCCAGAATGAGAAGTCAAAGCTGCGATGAAGAAATGAAATGAAGGCTTCAAGAAATAACTGCTATTTGTCCAACCAATCGACGGAAGACCCCGGTAACAACCAAGAATTATATAGGTCAAAGGTTAAAGGTTAATTATATAGGTTTCGACTGACTCTGCGGGTTATCTTCTGCCAAAGCTCTGACGCATGGTTGCGACGTTAAGACTGTCTGCCGTGTCTGCATCTGCGAGCCGAAAGGATAAGCGGCAGTCGAAACTACATAACTGACTGAGAATCAAGACCTGCCGTGCTCAAGGTTTTTTCTGTTCGAAGTAAAACGTTTGTTCAGTGATTGACGACCCGCAGAGAAGGAAATGGCCCACCAGCGATATAGGATATATGCTAACGATATGCAGGGTCATCTGGTCGAAATGTTTACTCTGCAACAAACTTTTGAAATTGTTGAACTATTTCGTGCCAGCAGCCACTGTATATTAACCACAGCAATTTTTTGTTTTTAGTTAGTCTTCTATGTGGTGATAAAAGTTCGTTCGGACGATCGCGCGAACAGAAATCCGATGTTTTTCTGTAGGTGAATAACACTGTATCAGAGATTGAAAATGTTTCCTTTTCTGGCAGACAGGTTATTAAATTGTAAATCGAAGAAAAAATGCAGAAAGTTTGAGAAGTAATAAATAACAGACAGCCCATAGGCGTCCAGAAAGCATTAGATGATTTTTCTGGCAACTTTTCAACGGCCAGTTGAAACCATGTGCATGAGCTTAAGTTGTGTCTCGTGAGAAGGCAGTTGTTCATCGTATAAAGTAAGCAGTAGAATTCTGCACAGAAACCTTAAAAGCTGGTGTTACCTCTTTTGGCACTTCGACATCTTCGAAGAAAATCGCACGAGTGTCGCTGCATCGCTGTCCCATGTTCAGTTCCTGCACAAGAAACGATTTATACACAATAGCATAGAAACATACAATGGTGCGATTCGGTTACGAACAGAAACTAAAATTCATAACCAACCTTCTTTCCTCGCACGATCCCTTTTTGATCGCCGTCGACTATCACGGCAGTAAATGCCTTACCAGTGGGCACTTTTGGGTCTGGATCAGAACGCGCGAGAACAAAAAACCAGTTTGCGTGACCTCCGTTCGTAATCCACATCTTCTGTCCATTCAGGACGTACGAGTCGCCTGAATAACGAATTTCTGTCGGTCGCCCGAAGGTCAGAATGGTCAGCTTTACCTTTCTTCGTTAGTTTCGTTTTGATGCCCGCGACGTCCGAACCTGCACCCGGTTCAGTGGTACAGTAAGCAGCGACAGTGGGCTCACTCGTCAGCCTTCCGAGAAATTTTTTCTTTTGTGCCTCAGTTCCGCTAATGATCACTGGCGCTGCCTATATACAGTCGGGTCATCATCGCCCGTGTTGTTCATGGCATTGATGACAAGAATGACATGACAAACCATGAAAAACGTTTTAAAAGTATAATGGTAAAAATGCATAGCAACTAATGTAGTGAACAGTAATGTCAGAATTTACATCACAGGGCCTTTTGGCTTATTGTTTTATCCTCGATCTTAATTGAAATGGTGCTGAACTAAAATCAAATTTTGGTCATCCGTTTCACTGACGACTGCGAGTATAATGAATCGAATTTGTTTACAGCCACCTTTCCAAACCAGTAAGTAAATGTGAACGAAATTCTGCAGGCAGTCTGGTAGGCGTGTGCCTTTTTATAAAGATCTCGACCTGTATGTGTATCTTATACAATCTGTTAGCTACATCCCTTCAAGGCTGAAATAGCAACAGCGATGCCATTACAACCGAAGGATTTTCAACATCCGCGAATGTAATCGCCCCGCGAGCGCCAGTGTTCTGTCCAATACGGATATGCTGGAAGCATGTGATTCTGACACAAGAGCTACGCTGCTTTAGGCACTATGTATGGACGCCTGAGAAAGACTGCTGTCTGCTCTAGCATTTTATTCCTAAATGCACTGTACTGTCTGTGAACAGCAAATGATCTGATGACAACGTCGTTATTGGCATTCTATACATGTGCCGCTGATACAAAGATACGCAAGTGGAAGAAAAAGATTATGGCAGTAGTTTTGTTTATTGATCATTGACTTGTCATGAGGTAGCGAAGCAAACTCAATGGAATCAGAAAGAAGCCCAGTCATCGGCTTTGACCCGTCTTTCTCCTGCACACATTAAACATGTGAACGGTTGTGCAAGTTGAATATGTACCACGCAACACGTCGGAAGCCAGCGATGCTGTAGTTTTCACTCTTAAATCAAAGGATTACCTGCGATCATAATAAACGCAATACAGCAGGCTTATCGAGACTACTATTATTCTCTGGTTTACGTGAAGCAGCCGCTGCGGCCGGCTGCAGCTGTCGAACATTATCTTGTTGAAGGTTTGCACACCAACCTGAAGCATCGGTTAGAGTTTTATGAGCAAGATAGACTTGATTTGCATTGTCTCTACGCAGATTAAACGGAGTGGTCGACGGTCGAAGAAGGGGAACATGTGGCAGGGCAAAATGCGGTTGAGTGCATTTTTCACAGGGGTGATGACTGCCATAAAACACTTTAACGATCTGTCAAAAGAGCAAGTGTGATCAGGATTTGACAAACTTTTTTATGCTCTTAAAGCGAATTTGTCTAGAACGACACTGATGCTAAAACCTGAGACATCAGGACCAACCCAAAATTTGTTTCCAAAGAAAGCATCGTAAAATGCTCATCATGTCGCTGATGTCTTGAACAGAAGGTGACAACAAAGACATATAATATCGTTTAGTAGGCTGACTTCTTCGTATTTGTATAGCAATGCTATTAATAAATCGTTCAAGGATGAAAGATGCATGCATGCACGTATGATTGGTAAGTCATCTGAACGGAAGGAGAACGATGAGATACCACACATTTTGCGTTCACATGGCGGATAAAACCGCACATTTGTAACCGTTTCATGCTCGTAATCTAACCATGGACTTTGGATCTGTTACCACTGTTTGCATGTAAAAAATTTAGACGTTAAGTGGCAAAAATGAGAATCAGGTTCGCTGCAGAATTTTCGTATCTGGCTGTACGCGCTTACCGCCAAGCCGCTGGCCATAATGGCCGTGCTGATCCCCGTGCAGCCATAGCTCATCGCTTCGCCAACAACAGCTGTTGACAGGATGTCCAATTCTACGCCACCTGAAATAGAACTAACTAGACGAATGGCAAAATGACGCATTATTTAGCTTCAGCAGCAAAAACTTGAGACGATATGTGCAAAGTTCAGTTTCGTTCACAAATTGAAGACTTTTCTTCATTATTTACCGGTTTCAGTTGCTTTGCACATTACGGCATGTAGGTAAATAATGTTAAAAGTGTTTACAAGCCCTAAATCAACGTGCTCCTGTGCAGAGGCCTGAATTATTGCATCAGAACCACAATGGGCACGGCGAAACATGGCCGCCACTTGCCCACAAAGTTAGCCTCGCCATGACAAGTCAACGTTATTCTGGAAGAACTGAAAAAAAGTTTCTCACCATTGGAATAATATTCTCCTTTACTTCCGCGATAAGCAGTTTCTCACTTCTTCCATAAAGTTAATGGGGCTTCACGGACGTCGGTATCGATACCATCAGCCAGAGGTGTCTTTTTATGGAGATACTTTCAGCAGCTATGTGGCAAGTACAGCACGTATTCTCTTATTTCTTTCCCACCAACTGGTACTTGCTGATATACTTTGAAAAGAAGACTGACAGGACCATTGGCTGAAACTCCACGCGCAGAACAATCGGTCAAAAGTGACGTGGGGAGCCGAAAATGGTCGAAGGTAAGGACTGCATGCCAGAACGAAGCATGAAAGAATGTGTATTCTTCGCAACCACTGCGGAAATTATGAAGGCTTAATGTGAGCCCAAAACGCTAGATAAGTTCGTCATTGGGATGACAGATCACTTGTTTATAAAGCAAATCCGCATCAGAGAAAGGCAGTCTAGCAATTAACCTGGATCATAGGATTCATGTTAATCCTCAAAGAATATGGCGAAATCGATGAAATCCTTTCGTTTAGTTTTCTGAATCATGGATGATGAAAAGAAATGGAGAAAACTTAGAATGGTTTATGCCGCCTGGATCGCATTAATTGCTAAATTAGGCAATGCAGAGCAGAACTTGTTGTCTCGTACAGAGTGTTACATTTATTACTGCAAAAGTTTATTAGCTCTGAATCTCCTGTTCTAACTTAAGCTAACCCAGGTTTGATAAGCAGGTTTCGTTGCTGAACATTATTATAAATGTGCTGGCAAATAAATCTGCTCAAAAGGCCCATTTACAAGAGAAAGCGTAGGTCAGCGACCGAATGATTTGACCTACTACGAAACATCTAAAATATACAATTCAGCATTAAACCTAGAAAGGAATAGAAATTTGTAAATGCTGGAAGGTCGGTCTTCCTGATACTTTCATGATAGGGCCAAATTCTAGCGCCCTTCGATTCATGAAGTAAAGGATGGGACCTTCAACTCCATTTTCATGCCATCAGCCACGGAAAATCAGAATTTTCCATTGAACTGTTCCAAGAAAATGGAATATTTATTTTAAATAAGAATCTACAGCAGCTATGTAGGAACTTAGTTGGAAGTTGCCCGCAGATTGGTAATGGTTACTAAACCTCGGAAAGAAGACAAGTAAACCGGTCAGGGCTCTATTCCAGCCCTCTTGGATTTGAGTTAGACGCCCTATCGACTGACGCAACCCCCGTTTAATTATGAAAACCCAGTTCAGTTGTAGAACTTAGTAGCCAGACGGCTAAATGCAGTTGACACAAATGAAAAAAATGTTCGATTTCAGTATATAATTATTGAACAGTACTTATTGCACGTTATTCATGTTAGACCGATGAAGTAAACCCTTTGAAACTACTCATGATAAGTTAATGCGAGCGCATCTTTAGACGTCGACGAGAACCCGTACCATATTTCTGAGGGATTGCCGTGTTTATCAAGCCAAGCTTCCATGCCTTCTTAATTAGATCCCACGGAAACTAAAAAATGACAGCAAATAACCTCGCCTGATATGCTACGGATATAGTACCTCGCCGGTTCTGTCATGATACGCTGCTTTTGGTATGATCTCTTCTTGGGCGAACTTCAGCGCCAAATCCTGGTAGGATTTAGTCTCTTCTGGCAAGTCTGAAACGGAAACAATCATGAACACTACAAAGCAAATGTGAGCGTGCCGTTTACTTACCGAAGAGGGAGACGCTTGGAGCGACATCTTTCAGAATGCTGGATGCCGCAGCACTGACGCGACGGACGGATAAATACGATAATCGCGGTAGCATGCTTTAAAACCTAAACAGCTTATCAGCATGATTTCTCTGCGGTTAAAAATCTAAAGGCACTCTATGCGACTTCCTAAAAAAAACGCGCAGACTTTCCACTGATGCTCTCAAACCTCGCTCGAACGATATTTATTTCTCGCCGGAATTTCATTCGCTGTATTAACTAACGAACTTGTAAGTGAATGGAAGAGGGAAAAGTTGACAAGCGCAAGTAACTGTTGCATTCTGATGGCGATTTCTAGACTGTCATCAAATACTGTATAGGGCGAATGTTATTTTATGTGCAGCCGTACTAATTAACAGTAATAACGAAGTGTCTTTCGCATGCAGCTTATAGGAGATCTAGTCATGGGTTTAACCTATAGTAAACTTTAGAAGACCTTTACTTAATTTAATTAGTTTTCATTAATATAATCTAAGACAGATACTTTCTTGGAATGGCACTTTGACGCAATGAAAGGGCCTCCATATCTCAGTAATCTTGAAAGCGTTGTTGGTTGATACATCAAAATTTGCCCTTGTCAAGCTCTCCCATGCAAGAATGACTAAGCGGTAGAGATAAAACGAGAGCAGTCCACCCCAGCCTGTATTACAGGAAGATTTCTGAGAAATCTATCACATCCCATCGCTGCATTCGTACAGATTAGCAATGAAAGAGTTCAATTCTTACGCATAGTGGTTGGTTCAGAAATTACGTTACAGTTTTCCATTGTTGGTAACTAGCAGTCAATTGAACTGCTAAGGAACCCTACCAATTGTCTCGTTATTTGTTTAAAAACGACGCAGGAGATCGAAAAGAAACTCGGAGCAATATTTGGAAATTGAATTATATGATACCTGAGTGGAAAGAAAAATGGTTGAAGAAGCAGTGCTAGTATCTGAATACAGTTCGATTATCTTCCACCAAGCGCCAGGGTTCCAGTATTTCGTCAATGCGTAAAAGCTTCGCAATTCTGGGTCTTTCTCCTCCACGTTCGTCATTTACACGACCAGTTGCCATCAACGAAAGAAACAGACTGGGCGTTCGACTCGAGATCGGCACCAGCAGCAGAACAATGAAATATTAATGCATTAACACTCATACACGTGCAGACCAGCTCATCAGAAACCTAGATCAGCCGTGTCTACAACTCCAAAAGAAACTGTTAACACTCTGATTTCAGTAGTGATGACTGCAGTTGTTAGGCAAAGATCTGATTAGTTTTTATGCATCGTACTTTCCAACTTTTTGTGACTTGAAAAGAGCTCAAAAATCTAGCCGTCTCTTCGTACGGATACTGTGTCTCAGTACCCCCAACTTATCCGTTTTTGTATGACGCTGTTATTTATCATTTTGAAATAATAAAGAACAGTCGTCCAAAAAAGAGTCCCAAGTTCAAATTTTTTAGGCGTTGTTCCGAACAAACTAACAGTTGTGTTGTCATTAAGCATCGCTACTGATCAGCATCAATCGATGCATAAGAAAAGCTACTAACTTTCTAAGATGTGATGCGACCTTTGGTGCAAAGTAGGCACGAGCTAAAGACGTTTATTGGCTTCAACAATGTTAGTTTCGTGGTGGTTAAAGTTCGCGCT